ATATGTAACTGAGTTTAGAAAGCTTAGAAAGTGGGATACACGCTAGATCTAGGTACATTGTTTAATACCTGGAAAGAAGTACACATGGGGGTCAGCAGATGGCATTATGTTATGTCACTGTACTTCCATGTAGTGAACGGTTCAAGGCCCAGACTTGGCAGCTGGGCGTGTGCATGGGTGCCCAAAATCCTGAGAGGAGAATAGAGGAGAATAGATTGCAGTGTGGCCATCCCTCTGAGGGATGACTTCTCACTTTCTGTCTCTCCAGTGAACACGCACCCTATACCAAAAATCTCTTTAAAAAAAAAAAAATTAAAAAAAAGAAATACACTTAATGTTTAGTAGTCTTGGGGATACGATTACAAAGGAAGGTGTTTTCACTTTTTTAATTTTAGATTTCTACAGTGCTTTTTTTTTTCTTTTTAAAAAATGTATTATCATCACAATCTTATTTATATCACATTGAATCACATATAACTTTACAGCGTATTACATCTCTTTTTCCAGAAGGAATACCGTGCATGTCAGTCAGTACAGAGACATTAAATCCCCACTTCATCATCCGTTAGCTTTTCATTATTTTTCTCAATCATCATTATCATTATTATTATTCCAATTCTTCCAGTGCTTTCATGTTTTTAAGTTTATTTATTTTAGTGGAGGGGTCCCTAAGAGTCCTTACTGTGACCCACCCCCAGACTCAGCCAGACAGGCTCACGGGCACCACACTCCTGGGGTGGGAAGCAAACCTGGGACCTTCCCATGTAGCAGCACCACCACCACTGACCAGGCCTTGTGTTAATGTTTCAGGGGTTTTATTTTATAAAGGTTTTTTCCTGAGGGCATGTGCGCTCAACAGACAGACAATGAGAAGGAAAGTGAGAAATCACCCCCCATGGGGGATGACCACCGCAATCCCTTCTCCATCCTCCTCTCGGGATCTTGGGCACGCATGCATACATGCCCGACCCCAGGGCCTTGACTCGAACCACTGTTAGCCATGTAGGAGTCCAGTGGCATAACTGCTACGCCATCTGCTGCTTCAAGCCTTTTTAAGTTTCTTTCTTTCTTCCATGGGCAAGACAGAGAGATGGAAAGTCAGCACGCCAATAGGGTCTCAGTGCCACAGCCCACTCCAGCTTCAGTCAGCACCCTCTCACCGGCACCCTTTCATGGGCACATGCATGTCCGGCACTTGGGGGCTTCAGATGCAAACCCCGAGCTGTCCCTGTGGGTCAGCCTCTCAGAGGCAGTTTTACCACTGCACCACTGCCCAGACCCCCGTTTCAATTTTTAGAAAAGCACATACTGCTCTCATAAATTTAAAAATATATATCTTTCAGGGTGGGGAGGGGTACACCATGTGACAAAATAGATAAAACATTCCTGAATAAGAAAAATCTAAAACTGTGTAAGACGCTTCAGTTCTTCAAATAAATTTCAGAGCCTTTATTTTTATTGTTTAATTATGGATATGAAAATACCTTTTGACTCTATTCTGATACTTCGATTTTAATTGCACTACGTCTTGAGGAAGCCCAAAGCAGTGCTGTGGTTTCGCTCATGGCCCAGTGAGATTTCATATCTAGGTCAGGCTCTTCTGGTATGTTTCGGGAAGACTTCCATCTGGGAGCTAATTCTCAATGTATTTCTTTGCAGTCGGGCCCAGTGGGCCACATGAAGCTGTTTGTTTTCAATAAGTAGTGCTGCTTCCCAGGGGGAAACAGAAGGGCTCAGAGCAACCCCTGGCAGAAAGCATGTCTCTGCCGACTGACCTGGTGAATGCAGTACTCACGTGCATAAGGACCTTAGAACCGTTGAGAAATAAGTAGTGTCACCATTTCCTGGCCTGCTCTGAGGGTAGATGAAATACTGATCAACAACTTGAGCGTTCTTTCCCATGGTTTAAATTCTTAGATGGATAGCAGGAAACCTTTCAGATGGCGCTTATTCAAGTCTTGTGCTATAAATCTGGGAGTGTAACCACGTCATCACTTACTGTGTAAATAATGCTTGATAGGTTTAATAATATTTTAAATATGTGGTTTTATTGGGCAATTTAAAACAAGAGACTGAAAAGCACATGCGTATTTACTATTCACATGAAAGACTTGATCTGCTACAGAAGCCCGCGGGAGAGCCACTGCGGTTGGCCCCCTTTTCTGGCCATGTGCTTCACCCTTCAATTCCTGGTCTGCCCGGTTCCTGGAAACCGTCAAATGCTTCTTACAGATGTTTCATTTCATAATTGCTGCAGTATCCAGTTACCGAAGCGTGGGGCAGCTGTGTTTCCACCCTGTTCCCTGTTGCACGTTTACTATGATTCAAGACGAATTCGAGTCTGAAATACAAGTTGATGATAAAAGCTAGGACATTTGTGGCATGTTAGGTGGCACGGCGGTCAGGGTGGTTGGATCCCACATGGTTGACTATGGTTCGAGTCCCGGACCCAGTGATTGGAAAACACACTGGGCTTATGTGTGTGCATGCTCAAAACCTTGAGAGGAGAATGAAGGAGCAGGGATGGCAGTGTGTGGCATCCCCCCTGGGAAGTGCTTTCTCACTTTCTGTCTCTTTCCAGCGAGTGCCTGTGCTCTATAGTAAAAATAAGGAAAAAAGTAAAAAAAATAAAAATAAAAAAAAAATTTAAAAAAATGTTTTAAGTTAGCAAAGCTGACTATGAGGTTTTTGCCCCAGTTGATAAGAGATTCAGAAAACGCTTCCTGTGTGGGAGTGGTTGTTCTTTACTGTGGCATCCGTTTATTCTCAGAACGGTTTCCTTGACTGTTAGAAATATTTTCATGCCTTGAAAGATAATCTCGAAATTAAGACATCAAGTTTGGAGGAAAACATTTTTCTAGGGTTGAAATTGGGTCTGGAATAGTATTGCTAATCTAATTCTTAAGTGGGTCACAGGTTCAGTATAATTTTATTGTTATACTTTGTAACATTTTCATGAGATACATTCTTTTTTTTTTTTTTGGAGAGATTTTCACTGTAGGGCACATGCGCTCGCCAGACAGAGAGAGACATAGAGACAGAAAGCGAGAAAGCACCCCCCAGGGGGGATGGTCACGCCGCAATCCCTTCTCCTCCATTCTCCTCTCGGGATCTTGGGCACGCACGCACACGCGCCCGGCGTGAGTTTTAAGCCACCAGGTCCGGGACACGAACCGCGGTCGACTACGTGGGAGTCTAGCGACATAGCCATTACGCTAACTGCTGGTTCCATGAGATACATTCTTTTATAAATAGCAAATATTAATTTTTAAAAGAAACTAGATCAAGTGTTTAGGGCCTACTTTGTGTTTACTCTTTTATTAACTCAGTAACTACTGGATCTTTAAATGATGTGTAGTTTGGGGATTAAAAATAAGCAGATACTTTGTATTCTTAGAATGAGAATGAACATTTGAAAATACGAAAAACCTCTCTTTTCTCCTCTCAACCTGGGAAGGGTGGAGTGTTCCCATCCTCTCGTCTGAAATCGCTTTGGTTTGCAGGTGGTGGCCTGCAGAGATCTGCAACCCCAGGTCTGTGCCCCTGAACATCCAGGGCCTCAAACATGACCTGGGGGACTTCCCCGTGTTCTTCTTCGGCTCTCACGACTACTACTGGGTCCACCAGGGCAGAGTGTTCCCTTACGTCGAAGGAGACAAAAGCTTTGCTGAGGGCCAGACTAGTATTAACAAGACCTTCAAAAAAGGTAAGGTAGATAGCGCGGACAGTGACGCGGAGCCGGGGCGCGGCGTTGACTCCTCCGCCTGCCCAGCTTCCTGGCATAGGACCTATTTCTGGCCTTAGAGAAATTTCCACCGGGGTTATGGTCCCGTGTCCACAGCTGCCAGTCGGCTTCCAGGGCTGGGGCACATTCGGGTACGGGAGACTGTGAGAGGTGCTTCTGTGTGAACAGATTACTCCGGGAATAGGGCCCCTCTTCCAGTGAGGTCCTGAGCCACAGATGGTTGGGCGGCTTCCCCAAGAGCCTCTCCTCGGCCTTTTCACGGTTGCCGGAAGTTGGTTTTCTGGTTAAGAGGGAAGTGAAGGTAAATCTAGTAGGAGATCAGAAGCTGCTCTTCTGGGCACTCGGGGGCCTCTCAGGCAGCAGCGTGCCCAGAGCAGTGTTGATTCGGTTGGATCCTGTTGGTTAGGCGAGACGTGGTAACTTCCAGAAGGTGATGGGAAGTCCTGGACAGGTGCAGAGGTGGAGAGCCCTGGGGCGGCCGGCGGAGTTGCAGTGGAGCTCATGCACTCTCTCTGGTCTCGTTGGCAGCACTGGAAGAAGCTGCAAAGCGTTTCCAGGAACTGAAAGCACAAAGAGAAAGTAAAGAAGCGCTAGAGATGGAGAAGCACTCGCGGAAACCCCCTCCTTACAAACACATCAAAGTGAGTCTTTACCACCACACACGGGACTGGCCGGCTGACACGCGTTGCCCTCTGGAGCTGGAGCCCCTTTTCCACTGTGGGCCTTTTGCCGACACCACCCGGTCTTCTGTAGGACGGGCGGGAGCTTTGGCGAGTGTCACGCGGGGCCACAGCTGCAAGCTGTGCAGACACCTCCAGCCCTCTGTGCGCTCAGGAGCAGCGCGTTATGTGAGACGCTTGTCCCACCACTAACCTGCTGGTGAGAGCGCCCATACCCTACCCCGGAGAGCCACGGGCCACGCGTGCGCTTGTGCTCAGTGCCCGCGTGCTCGTGGCCAGGGGAAGGGATCGGGACACGCGCAGCGCCCCTGGACGTTGGTGTGGATGGAGAGGGCACCAGCCTTAGCTTGCCCTGGGGAGGTGAGGTTGGCCTCCTCCGTCGCTCTACCAGGCAGCAGAGGCAGAGCCACGGAGCTGCTGTCAGCGCCCTGCTCACGCCTGCCTGCTCACACCTGCGCTGCTCACGGGAGACTTCCTTTTCCAGGCCAACAAGGTCATCGGGAAGGTCCAGATCCAGGTGGCCGACCTGGCCGAGATCCCCCGCTGTAACTGCAAGCCTGCAGACGAGAACCCCTGCGGCCTGGAGTCCGAGTGCCTGAACAGGATGCTGCAGTATGAGTGCCACCCGCAGGTGTGCCCAGCCGGGGACCGCTGTCAGAACCAGTGCTTCACCAAAAGACTCTACCCTGACGCCGAGGTCATCAAGACCGAGCGGCGAGGCTGGGGCCTCCGCACCAAGAGGAGCATTAAGAAGGTAGCAGCAGGGCGGGCAGGGTGGGCCTGCGCCTCCTAGCTGTGGCTTCAGTGGGCAAGATTCTAGGACAGAAGAGAGGGTCGGGCAACATGCAGAACGTCCCACCCACGTTAAGAGACTGGCACTTCTTACTGAGATTAGCTGGCAGGTGGCATGGTGGTTAAAGGCGCTGGACTCCCACATGGCCGAATGTGGTTCTAGTCCCGGACCTGGCATCTTGCTTTCTCACTTTCCCTTTCTCTCTTGCTCTGTCCCTCTCTGGTCAAATTAAAACAAATAAATAGATTAATAAATAAAGTTAAATAAAATGATTATTTAAAAGAGAGAGATTGGCACTTCTTGAGCAAAAGAGAAGTAATAGAAAGAAAAAAAAATCTCTTAAAATAAAAAAAGGTGAGGCCAGCCGGTGGCTTAGTGGGACGCCAGACTCCCACGTGGCCTACCGTGGTTTGAGTCCTGGACCTGGCCGCTTGCTTTCTCACTCTCACTCCCACTCCCACTCTAACTCTCGCTCTGTCCCTATCTGGTCAAATTAAAAAAGCAAATAAAGATTAAGAAAAAAAGAGAAAGGTCATTGGTAATCTATTTGCAACATTGTTTTACTTTGTAATCTAAATTATTTTAAAGTCTGAAGGTAAAATAGAACAGTTAAAAATGTCTTGGGACCAGCAGTTGGCGTAATGGCTATGTCACTGGACTCCCACGTAGTTGACCGCGGTTCGCGTCCCGGACCCGGTGGCTTAAAACTCACTCCAGGTGCGTGTGCGTGCGTACCCAAGATCCCGAGAGGAGAATGGAGGAGAAGGGATTGTGGCGTGGCCATCCCCCCTGGGAGGTGATTTCTCGCCCGTCGCTCTACCAGGCAGCAGAGGCAGAGCCACGGAGCTGCTGTCAGCGCCCTGCTCACGCCTGCCTGCTCACACCTGCGCTGCTCACGGGAGACTTCCTTTTCCAGGCCAACAAGGTCATCGGGAAGGTCCAGATCCAGGTGGCCGACCTGGCCGAGATCCCCCGCTGTAACTGCAAGCCTGCAGACGAGAACCCCTGCGGCCTGGAGTCCGAGTGCCTGAACAGGATGCTGCAGTATGAGTGCCACCCGCAGGTGTGCCCAGCCGGGGACCGCTGTCAGAACCAGTGCTTCACCAAAAGACTCTACCCTGATGCCGAGGTCATCAAGACCGAGCGGCGAGGCTGGGGCCTCCGCACCAAGAGGAGCATTAAGAAGGTAGCAGCAGGGCGGGCAGGGTGGGCCTGCGCCTCCTAGCTGTGGCTTCAGTGGGCAAGATTCTAGGACAGAAGAGAGGGTCGGGCAACATGCAGAACGTCCCACCCACGTTAAGAGACTGGCACTTCTTACTGAGATTAGCTGGCAGGTGGCATGGTGGTTAAAGGCGCTGGACTCCCACATGGCCGAATGTGGTTCTAGTCCCGGACCTGGCATCTTGCTTTCTCACTTTCCCTTTCTCTCTTGCTCTGTCCCTCTCTGGTCAAATTAAAACAAATAAATAGATTAATAAATAAAGTTAAATAAAATGATTATTTAAAAGAGAGAGATTGGCACTTCTTGAGCAAAAGAGAAGTAATAGAAAGAAAAAAAAATCTCTTAAAATAAAAAAAGGTGAGGCCAGCCGGTGGCTTAGTGGGACGCCAGACTCCCACGTGGCCTACCGTGGTTTGAGTCCTGGACCTGGCCGCTTGCTTTCTCACTCTCACTCCCACTCCCACTCTAACTCTCGCTCTGTCCCTATCTGGTCAAATTAAAAAAGCAAATAAAGATTAAGAAAAAAAGAGAAAGGTCATTGGTAATCTATTTGCAACATTGTTTTACTTTGTAATCTAAATTATTTTAAAGTCTGAAGGTAAAATAGAACAGTTAAAAATGTCTTGGGACCAGCAGTTGGCGTAATGGCTATGTCACTGGACTCCCACGTAGTTGACCGCGGTTCGCGTCCCGGACCCGGTGGCTTAAAACTCACTCCAGGTGCGTGTGCGTGCGTACCTAAGATCCCGAGAGGAGAATGGAGGAGAAGGGATTGTGGCGTGGCCATCCCCCCTGGGAGGTGATTTCTCGCTTTCTGTCTCTCTGTCTCTCTCTGTGTGGCGAGCGCACGAGCCCTATAGCGAAAACCTCTAAAAAAAAAAAAATGTCTTGGGGTGGAGCCGGCAGGTGGCGTGGTAATTAAGGTTGCTGGACTCCCACACAGCTGACTGGTTCGGTTCTGGGACCTGGTAGCTTGCTTTCTCACTCCACCTCAAAATTAAATAAAAGAAGTAGCAACCAGCAGGCCCAGGATTTGCTCCAGCACCCCTCAGTCATGAATCCAGGGCCAGGCCCTTTAACCTCCTGGAGGATTGGCTCTGAGGGAGCCCAGCATGGTAACCACTATGCCACCTGCCGGTCCGGAAGGCCGTATTTTAAATGGAAGAACAATGTGGGCCAATGGAGTGATTTAGACATTGGATCTCACATAGCCAACAGTGTTGTTCATACCCCAGAACCGGGAGCTTGAGGCCAGCAGGTGGTGTGGCGTTCAGGGCTCTGGATTCCCACGTGGCCAACTGTGGTTCAAGTCCCACACCTGGTGGCTTGCTTTCTCACTCTCCCCTGCCTTGTGCTCTGTCGCTCTCTTGTCAAATTAAAAAATAAGTAAGTAAATAAAGTTAAATAAAATAATTCTTTAAAAAAAAAAAAAGAAAGAAGAAAAAGAAGAAGTAAAACCGCTCTGGGTGTGTGTGCATGTGACCCCAAAATCCTGAGAGGAGAATAGAGAGATTGCAGCATGGCCGTCCCCCCAGGGGTGTTTCTCACTTTCCTTCCCTCTCTCTCTCTCTTTAACGAACACGTGCACCCTTTTCAAAAAAATTTTAAATGACCTTTGTAATTTAAGAAAAATCATCTAGTGTAGTAAAGAAAAGTCAAACAATACAAAAAAGACAGTAGAGTGGAGCTAGCCCTGTAGTACAGTGGTTAAGTGCTATGCAGAGGAAGCCAAATTCCACATGGCTGGCCAGGGTTTGAGTCCTAGCCCTGGTGCCTTAAAAAAACATGCCAGCATGCTCAGGACCCTGCAGGATGAGAATTGGAGGAAAAAGGATTGTCGTGTTCACGTCCCTGTGCAGAACATTGGTCTCCCTCCTTCCCTTATTCTGTTCCTCGCCTTCCCCCCCCATGCACACCCTCGGCATTAAGAAAAGATAGAAGAATAAGTGTCCTCTTCATCTTTCAGTCCCTAATTAGAGGGACCATTGATAATAGTGTGGTATCTCATCTTTCAGGAATTTGTCTGTGAAGGTAGACACCCGTTCATGTGTTAATAAATACAGACCAGAATGTCCTGTGTTTGTCTTTGTGGTCATCTTTCTGCACCCATTCCCATGGCTGTGGTCGCCCAGGGTGGGTGTCCATGGCTCAGCACGTTTCTCTGCAGCTGCCCTGTGCACTACGACCTACCCTGGGATCAAGTTTATAACAGCTGATGCCAGCACTTTTAACATTTTCAGTATTCATTCATTTTCATAAAATAATATTAGCCATCATAAATGGTTAACAAGCTTTTCATTTATGTGTGTCTGTTTCGCATGTTTGTTTTGTTTTTAGTTTTTGTTATAGGGCATATGGGTTTGCCAGAGAGGGAGACAGGAAGTGAGAAATCATCTAGGGGTGACAGCCACTCTGCAATCCCTTCTCTTTCGTTCTTCTCTTAGGGCTTTGGGCACGCACACACACGTGCCTGGTGTGATCTTCAAACCATTGGGTCTGGGACTTGAATCATGCAGTTGGCCATGTGCAATTCAATGCCTTAAATTCCATGCCACCTGCTGGCCCCCAACAAACAAAAAATTTTACCAGAATGTTCATAAACAACTTTACTTGTTTATTTTTTTAATATTTTACTTTTTTGAGAGATTTTTGTGATAGGGTACATATACTTGCCAGAGAGACGGAGACAGAAAGTAAGAAATCACCCCCTTGGGAGGATGGCCACACCACAATCTCTTCTCCGTTCTCCTTGAAGGATTTTGGGCAAGCATGCACACGCACCTTGCATTGCATGGGTTTTAAGCATCCGAGTCCAGGACTCGAACTGCGGTCACCGCCCTGGGAGTCCAGCACCTTCACTGATGCACCACCTGCTGGTCCCAGCAGCTTTACTTATAACCAACATCTGGAAACAGTCGAGGTGATGTTCACGGGACACCGCTAACCAGACCATGGTACACTGCCACCGTGGACAGCTCCTTAGTGAATGAAGAGCTGAGCTCTGTCAGTGCCTTTGCTCATGCCGGTCTCCGAGGTTACGTGTGGGAGTCCACCCAGAGAACCCTCTTGGAATGGCAGAACTACGCCTGGGTAGAAGAGCCTGGTCGTGGCCAGGTGGAGGGGCTGTGATGACAGAGCAGTGACAGGAATCTGTGGTGTAAAATGGCTCTGAGACCCCGGGACGATACTGCACACACAAACGCGTGTGTAACACGTGAGCCCACATGAGGTCTGCGGCGTGCGGTGTTGAGCGTCTGGCTGTGCCTGCGTGCCTCTGTGATTGCACATGCTGCCTCGGAATGAGGAGTCCCTGCGTTTCAGAGCCCCATCTTCCCCAGGTCTTACCTCTGACCCCCACAACCGCAAACTAGTACAAGTCTGTTCTCGAATGGTCTTCAAGACCGGAGTCAGCCTTATGGCCGAGACACGCCACATAGCGTTGCATGGACGCTCACAGCGTCAACAGATCATCACCTTTTCAGGCACTCGTGCAGGAAAAACAGACCCCGAATACCTGGGAGTACAGCCCCGCTCATCTCCGGAGCGGAATCGGTGTTCTCGGGTCCCCGCCACGCTGACTCCGTGGCCATCCCTCCCCTCTCCGCAGGGCGAGTTCGTGAACGAGTACGTCGGCGAGTTGATCGACGAAGAAGAGTGCCGGCTGCGAATCCAGCGAGCCCACGAGAACAGTGTAACTAACTTTTATATGTTAACTGTTACCAAGGTAAAATTGCTTTTTATTTCTGGTAAGAAAAAGGGATTTTCTTAATCTCGTTATGTGGTTTTAGGCCGAACTTAGTCCTTTCGAATGTTTTCCCCAAGTAACTGACAGTGGTTCCCAGTAGGCAGAGCACTGCCTCCCGTGACATGCTCCTTCTACCAGAGGACGAGCGAGCGGCGCCAAGTCCTGGAAGGTGCCCGGGAGCAGGGTCGTGTGACTGGACTTCTGTCCCAGCTCTCCGTCCCTGGAGACTTGGACCGCAGCTTCCTTGTCACTGTGGGAGAGTCGCACTGCCGTTGGACGCTGTAAACTGTCGCTAATGTTCTGGCATAGCGGCCACTCTAAACTGTGCCCCGTGTTTAAACTGGTCCTTTTAATGAGTTAGGAAAGCAATGAGTGTTGTTGGGGAAGCGACGTCCATCTGCTCCTGACGTACGTTAAGAACTAAGGGCGCGGCTCACACCGCCATCCCGCCCCGTTTCCGCCGCCGTGCGTAGCGGGTCGTGCTGCAGCTCTGAGAGCCAGGACCAGTACTCTATCTCCTGCCTTCCAGGCCAGCCGTAAACCGAGTCAGGACACCGTTAAAATGAAGAGATCGTTCCAAAGAAGTGTTTTAACTGCTATGTCGTTATTTGAGCGTTTCATAACTTTCATAGACATATTTTGTAAACACAAATTAAAATGCCATTTTTAAAAAGTTTATATATTTCCTTCGTGAGAAAGAGACAGAAACAGAGACAGGAACCCTTGGCGAGGTCTTACCAGGCCACAGTCCTCTCCCAGTCTTTCAGTTGGCCAGGATTGTGGGTGCCCTGGTGTGTTCAGGTCATCCCAGGCTTCCCTCACGCTCCAGTGCCCTGCACGTCCCCACCTGTGCCCTCCACAGCCAGGCCAGTGCCATTTCTGATGGTCGTGAAGCCTGGCTCCTTGCACCCCGCTCTTTCCGCCCACAGCCCTTCCGGCTGTGTAATAGCGTGCAGGAGCCTCAGTCCTCGGGCGTAGCCCTGTGCTCGGGTCCGGTCCAGGGACCCTGACTGCTCGGTTGGCCACTGTATCTTGAACCTTAAGCAATCGAAGCAGCAGGTAGAGGAGTACTGGACAGCATGCCCTCAGATCTCAGGCCTTTACTTGGGAGAGAAGGCTCTCGTCTTCCCTCCTTCCCGCTTTAGGGCCTGAACGCACCTGCCTCTCCCCCAGGAAGCTTTGCTGCCTGCTTCGAGTGAGAGAGGAGGGCTGACACAAATCTTACTACAGAAGGGCACTTGGAGCCGAGCGCTCCTGTCGGAAGTGCCGCCCTGACCCACAGCCTGCAGCTGCGAAGGCGGGTGTTCTGTAGCCTGTTTGGAGACGCAGCCTTGGACAGCGCAGCCCACTGCCCGCCTAGGTCCCAGTTACCTTGCCTGGGAGGACTTCAAGTCAGGTCGGGGGCTGGGCCACCGGGCTTGGCCACAGGGCGTGTCAGCCTGCGTGGCCGGGAGCCAGGCGCACTCCCCCTGGCCTCGCTGCCGTGGCCGTCTCTGAGGTGGCTTACCCTTAGTTTCAGGTCAAAGGCGCCTTTCCTTTCCTGTCTTCCTGCAGGACCGCATCATCGACGCTGGCCCGAAGGGGAACTATTCCCGCTTTATGAACCACAGTTGTAACCCGAACTGTGAGACCCAGAAGTGGACAGTGAACGGGGACGTCCGAGTCGGACTTTTCGCTCTCTGCGACATTCCTGCAGGTACCGTGCTCCCTGGGCCCTCCCTGGGTGTCTCCTTAAGGGCAGGACATCACTCTGCAAGGCTGGGTTTACTCAGATTAAGTGCTGTTTGCCATCAAGTGCTGTCTACCAATAAAAAAAACCACAATCCACAGGGAACTTGGCAGGAGCCTTCCTAAGCGCGAGCCTGCAGGGGTTCTGCGCCCACGACCCTCCTCCCAGCCCACCGTCTGTACAGCAGATGTAGCTGTTGTTTTCTTTTTAAAACATACCAGAAGTAGTTAGCTTGTGTTAACATCAGCTGGTTTCTGGGGGTGTTGTTTTGTCTTTACTTTGAAGGATCATTCTGTTCCACATTAGACATAAAATGCCTCTAAAGCCAGAGTGACCGCCTTCATTTTCCCTGCCTGTCCAGCGCTGCAGAGCAAGCGAGTTTCCCCTTTGTTAAATCTGTAGGAAAATGCGTAGGAAACGGCGTGGCCAAGGCACATTTAAGCTGTCTCTAGAGCTCACTGTGGACTGTTCAAGGAGAAGGGAAGCGCAGGAGCCCCTGGCTTGAGTCTAGGTTGGCGGTGGTCAGCCGGCCCCGTCTGCAGCACTGACCGTGGTCTCGGGTGTTCATGGCTCCGGAGGCCGCGCATTGCCGCGGCCGCGAGAGGAGAATGGAGGAGAAGGGACTGTGGCGTGGCCGTCGCCCCTGGGGGGAGACTTCTCCCTTTCTGTCTCACTGGGAAGCTAGTGTTCACTGGGAGTTCACGTCCGACCAGGACTGCCTATACGTGAACACGGGTGGCAGGGTCTTAGCCCCGATTCCATTGTTTTCAACCTCTTCTGTAAAAGGATATGGCTTTTTTTTTTTTTTAAGCTATTGGGATCGTTCACTCACCAGAGACAGAGAGAAAGTGAGAAACCGTGCCCTAGGGAGTATGGCCACGCTGTCCCTTCTCCTCCAGGACTCAAACCACGGAGTTGGCTACTTGAGGTCCCATGGCTCACTCTCCACATAATCTCCTCCTTTCAGGCTGTTTGGTATTGCTCGAACCGTTGGGGGTGGCAGTGGCTCCCTTCAGACTCTGCATTTCTCTTCCCCCTTGTCCGTCACTGTCCTCCGTGGGTGGGGCCCAGGGGAAGGAGGAGTCTCCGTGCAGTAGGGTGTCTGCCCTCTTCCCAAGTGCACGGCCGTGGTGGCGCCCCGTCCCAACTTGTGCTGATCCATCACTTCCCTTGTGTTTTAGGGATGGAGTTAACGTTCAATTACAACCTGGACTGCCTGGGCAACGGCAGAACCGAGTGCCACTGTGGGGCAGAGAACTGCAGCGGCTTTCTGGGAGTGCGACCAAAGGTCAGTGCAGGGCAGCCGGAGCCACAGGAGCATGGGCACCACTGGGCGCCGAGCCCTCAGGCTGCCAGGACAGGGGCCCGGGGCTGGCCCTTGGTCATCGCCGTGCTTACCCCAGGCTCAGACTCCGACTCCCCACGAAGCCTATGTCTGTAAGGACTTGCAGCTTCTGAAAATATATTTGGGGGGTTTTTTAAGTATTCAGTTTGGGACTAGCAGTTGGCGTAATGGCTATGTCGCTGGACTCCCACATAGTTGACTGCGGTTCGAGTCCCGGACCCGGTGGCTTAAACTCATGCCAGGCACATGTGTGTGCGTGCCCAAGATCCCGAGAGGAGAATGGAGGAGAAGGGATTGTGGCATGGCCGTCACCCCTGGGGGGAGAGTTTCGCTTTCCATCTCTTTGTCTCTGTCTTTCTGGCGAGCACACGCACCCTATAGCCAAAACCTCTCCAAAAAAAAAAATTATTCAGTTTTATTTTTTATTATTATTATTATTATTATTATTATTATTATTTTACCACAGATAGGGAGAGAGAAAGCCAGCCACCAGGTCTGAGACCTTCACAGCAATTGGCCATGTGTGGAGTCCAGACTTAACCACCGTGCCACCAGCCAGCGCCTGTATTTGTATTTCTGATTTGATTTGAAATTAACAAAACCTGGAAAGAATAAAAAATTTCCCAGGGTCACATGCGCTCTGCAGAGATAGGAAGAGGGAGAGGAAGAACATCCCCACGGGGCCTGGGCACAGGGCGGTCCCCTCTACTGGTCTACATCCTTGCAGGATGGGGGGGCGGGGGGTGGCACACATGCATGTCCATGTGTTTCAAGGCACCAGATCTGGGACCGTAGCTGGCCATGCAGGGTCCAGCTCCCTGGACCACTGGGCCGTGGGCTGGCCAAGCAGTGTACTAAACACTACTGACTTACACACTTTAGGATGGTGGCCTTTGTGGTATGTGGGTTATATCTCAGCTAGAAATTCACAGAGCATTGGTGGGTTAGCGCTGCTGGGTGTACCAGCCCCCTTGCAATTTAAGAGTTGGAGAAAACACAGCCTTACTTTCCTGGCACAGGGTAAGTCCGCCTGGCGGGTCAGGCACTTGCACATGGGGGAAGGGAGCGAGCGTGAGGTCGGGGGAGGGTTCTGTGGAGCTGCATACGCTGTGGGCTGTTGAAACCACGCTCTCTCTTCCCCGCCAGTCGGCATGCGCATCAACAGCAGAAGAGAAGGCCAGAAATGCTAAGTTAAAACAGAAGAGACGGAAGGTCAAAGCGGAGCCCAAGCAGATGCATGAAGATTTCTGTTTTCGATGTGGCGATGGTGGCGAGCTGGTCATGTGTGACAAAAAAGACTGTCCCAAAGCATACCACCTGCTATGCCTTAACCTGCCGCAGCCCCCGTACGGTAAGCTGGACCTCCAGGCCCCTTCTCTGACCGCGTGTCTGCCAGCCGCGTGTGACTTGGAATATGCTCCCTGCCATTGGCACAGGCCAGAAAGGCCCAGTAGAGTGACAGCAAGCGGGAAGACTCGCTGCCAGCCAGCGAAGAGGGCTCCTTTTCCACCATTACCATAGGGGATGCTGGCACCCGGGCACCGGGCCGGGCCGGCTGCTCACATCCACATCGAGGCATGCCCAGGTCTGTGTTTGGCTGCAGTTTAGAGCGTGTTCCGCGGCAGGCAGGCTCCAGCCCAGAGCAAGGCTGGGACTGGTCTCCCTGGCTAGCCCAGGCCGCACTAACCTGGGCGCTTCTCCTGCCCTCCCTAGGGAAGTGGGAATGCCCGTGGCACCAGTGCAGCGAGTGCGGCAGTGCGGCCACCGCCTTCTGCGAGTTCTGCCCCCGCTCGTTCTGCAAGGAGCATGAGAAGGGCGCGCTGGTCCCCTCCGCGCTGGAAGGCCACCTCTGCTGCTCTGAGCACGACCCCGCCGCGCCCGTGTCATCAGAGTACTGGAACAAGATGAAGTGCAAGTGGGAGTCACAGGGTCGTGGGGAAGAAGGCAGAGAGTAAGCAGTGGCCCGCGCCCATCCTGTCGAAGAGAGGAGGCCGC